TCCGAGAGCTCCATCCTTGTGTCGTTCCCCCCACTCCCCGCCACTATCTGCTTCATTCACACACCATTTATAGACGGTCAGTCTCTTCAATCCAGGTTTCTCTCACAGTGTCATCTTAAACACATTGGAATAATATCCAAAAATTAATGTGAAATGAATTTCAGTTTTTGTTGTGGTCTTGATTAAAAAAAAAAAAGTGTGGGGTGGTGGTGGCAGCACTCGGGAGGCAGAGGTAGGTGGATCTCGGTGAGTTCGAGGCCAGCCTGGTCTACAGAGTAAGTTCCAGGACTGCCAGAGCTGTTACACAGAGAAACCCTGTCTCGAAAAACCAAAAAAATTCCAAACCAAACCAAAATAATAAAAAAACCTCAGAAGGTCACACACATACACATTCTGCTCAGTAAAACCAATTTCATAGGCCATTCTTGCTCTAGGCTGGAGAGCCTCCCAGCTCCGCTCCTAGCTCCATAGCATCCCTCTGGGAACCCTGCTGGCTCCTTCCATTCACCCCTTCTGACTGCTCTTTGCATTCCTCCTTTTTTCATTCCATTTATTTCAGTCCATAGACGCTGAACATATTGAATATCTCAGATGAGGCCAGGACCTGAACCCTTCCTAGGAGGGTCGATGCTTTAGCTAGAGACTGGTGAGCTAGGACTGGCCATGGCTGTGTTGCCTGTGCATTCCTCTGAATAACCCTATCTTTCTGGCCCACAGCTGGAAGCCAGGAAGCAAGAGCAGTGGAGTACAGCCCGGGCCCTATGGTTCTGGGCCTTCTCACTGCAGGCAAAGGTAATGGTTCTACAACTCCCTGGTTGCTGCTGCCTTCAGGGGCAGCTCTGTGATTTGGTCGTAGGAGCCCAAATGGAAGCCTGAGCCTCATCTCTTGCTGTCTTTTCTACAAGGTATGGACTGCATGGCTGGGATTCATACATGAGAGGAGGAGGAAGAAGGCACGGCTAGAACGAGCTGTGCAAGTTTACCACCAGCAGCTCCTGCAGGAGGGTGCCACACGGCTTCTGCGCTTTGCAACTGGTGTGAAGGCCTTCCGCCAGCAGCTACAGGCCCGGCAGGAAGTCCAGGTATGCTGGGGCTGCTGGTGAGGAGCTGACAGGGCAGGGCAGGAGCTGATGAGAAATTGTGTTGCAGGCTGCCCACAGCCTACACTGTGCAGTCCGCCGCTGTGCTGAGCTCTGGAAAAAGAAAGTACTTAGTCCAGGCAGGATGTCTCAGGCACCAGCACCCATCGCATTCAGCAGAAGAGTGACATTTAAGGATTCCTTTCTCTCTGGAGTTACTGGTGAGGCTGGGGACACCACCCTGGAGACCAAGAAGTTGCAAGCTCCTCCGTCTCAGGGAACCCTGGGCAGCTTGGCAGTAGCTGCTGGAGAGCCCTGCCTCCTAACGCTGTGAGTGGCTTGTGCCTCACCTCTGCCTCTAGCCCTAGCGCAAAGACTGGGAGCATACATGAGGGACAAACACCCTGGGAAGGGTCAGGTGAGATTGCCACAGCCTTGTCACATCAGAGCTGCTTAGAGGCCTCTCTCTGTCAGGCCATCCTTTCCAGGGCAATGGGGAGGCAGTGGAATTTCCCAACTTCTTTGCAGAAAAGAGACTGTTGTCCATCCCCTGTGACGTCTGCTTTTCCCTGTCTTATGGTACTCAACAGACTGTCAAGCCTTCATGCCTTGCCTTAGGCCTGCAGTTACCTGCTCTTTTCCCACCTCCTTGGATGGCTTCTCTCAGCCCTATGCATACCACTCTTGCTGAGGCAGCTGCCATTCCCGGAGTAACCAGCACTGAGACTCATAACTCACGATGGGCTGAGTGTACTGGGCATCCCCCATCCAGAAGGGCTCTGTGCCCTTCTGATGGGCAGACACCATATTGTAACTTGCTGTGCAGGTCGAAAGAAAGAGGTGCAGCTCCAGCATCCAGGTGGGGGTCAGTCAGACTGCCAGGGTCATGCCTGTATTGTCTAGGCTCAGGTCTACCCCCATGCACATACTAGCCCTTGGCCAGAGCCTTGTTTTGCCTGGCTTCCCGTCTCTCTGTAAAATGACAAGGTCTGAAGCTTAGCGAGATTTCAGGTCCCTCTGCAGACCTTTTCAGTCCATGAACACATATTTCTCTCCAGCACTGAGACCCGCTTATCACGGAAACAGCCACGACGTCCATCCTTCCTGCTCGACCGTTTGCGGAGCCAGAGGTCCCCAAACCTCTGGTGCACCCTTGGGGAGCAGCAGTAAGTTAAATGGTTGTGAGTCCCCAAAGGCACTATATTTTGTTGAATATGTGGCCTCTTTAATCCGGAGAAAGGTTTCATGGTGTAACCAGTTCCTACCTTCCTTCCACTCAGGTTAGAGAAGCCTCTGGAAGATGGTCAAAGCATGGCACCACCAGGAGGCCTTTCCCTGACGAGGCCCTTCCTACCTGTGGTCCTGCCAAATGTCCCTGGTTCAAAACTGCCCCCTACTTCAAGTCCAGGCCTAGAGCTATTGCCTCCTTCTTCCTTCATGTCCCATGGGGTGGGAGACACTGCCACGGTGAGTCTTCCATTGGGCCTTCATTTGCTCTTCTTGTTACCTTCTTTCTAGAATATCTTGGTCACTTGACAAGCTTGGGGACCTTACACTCCAGGCCTAAATCAGTGGCCAGTCTGCTAACACCCCAGCCCTTGAGAAATGTCTTGTGGTGGGACAACCAGAAGAAGCTTACAGGCAGACTCTTAGCAGGGCCTCTGGTCTTGGGGGACAGGTGGACGTGGAAGCTTGAGTGAGAAGAGGAAGAAATTGAGGGTCTGTTCCAGCGTACCGTGTCTGGCCTGGAACAGGGACTCAGAGCACCAAGTGGGGGCAACCTCACTGTGGGATGATAGTCTGCTGGGGACAGGGAGTGGAGGGAGGAAAAGGAGTCCAGGAACACTTAGGGAAGAACTCTTTCACTAAAAGGAAATGGGTGGGGCCCAGCATCTAGTGAGACAGTTGGTTCCTTTTACTTATCAGATGTGATAGAGACCAGCACTTGGTTGTCTTCAAGGCTATGAGTGTCCACAGTGCAGGGCAAAGGTGTCACCTAGGAAGGCACAGAAAGCACACAAGGGTGTGCTCCTGAGACAGGTGGCAGTACTGAGTCAGCTCATAAGAAGGTGATGCTGACTGGGGAGGGGTGCAGACAGGAAGAGGCAGTTTGTTTATAAATGGCTGGTAATAGAAGTGACACACACCTAATCCCAGCACTTAGGAGGTAGAGGCAGACAGAGAGCTCAAAATCAGTCTATGCTACACAGCAAGCCTCAGTTTTCACAGAAGACTTGGGGCGCTGGAGTGTGGGATTGGGAAAGCTGCCGCGCAATACCCTTCCCCACTGAGGCCAAGCTTAGCTTGGTAGCTGAGCCTAGTGGGGTGAAAGGCTGGGTAAGGGCAGAAACTGTCTCTGTTCCTGGGGTAACACTAAAAGTTCCCTTACACAAGGGTGGCACTCAACAGTAGAGATTGCTTGTAGGACTTCCCAGCGTGTCACCTTCCAAAACAGGTAGAGCAAGGCTTTGTGTGTGCTGGCCAATCACCCTATCGCTACAAGAACTGTGGGCAATGAACTGGGGACGGGACTCACTTTGGGAAGGGTCCCCACTAGCTTCGTTGCTCAACATCCACCCTTTCTTCCTCTACAGGTGTCAGCAAAGCCCACCATCCCTAGACCTCAACCTCTGGTGTGCCCGTCCCAAACCAGAGGGCCCAAGCCCCATCTCTTCCTCCCTGGGGATTTCACAAGCACCAGGACTGGAACTGGTTATGGTTCCGAGGTTGCAGGTGAGTAGGTCAAAGCACTGGGGCCACCCTCCCACCAAAGTCCTACCAGTCTCCCTGGTGGTTCTAAAGAGGATAGTGAGCAAGGTCAAACTCATCTTCCTGTTGGTGCAGGCCACACAGAGCTTGAGGCTGAGCTGGAGGGGATCCAGCAGCAGTTACAGCACTACCAGACCACCAAGCAGAACCTTCGGTGAGGCCCACCAGCTGCCCTGGGACCTGTCTATGTGAATAGACACGGGAAGGCTTGGGAAGGCTTGGAAAGCCAGGGGGTTCCACTTCCCCCAGCAGATGCTGGGACCCCTTGTTACTCACTCCAGAGGGTTGAAGTGAGTTTCTTGTGGCATCGTTATCCTCTCCAGAAAGGGCCAACTTGGCTTCACCTAGGGTTGGAAGCCCTGCTTTCCATTTGGAGGATATGTAAAGAAAGCAAGACTTGCTTATTCTGTTATCCGCCCAACAACCATGATTGTATACTGAGAAGGTACAGACAGCACAAGCCTGGGTTTTAGCTACACCCAGTGCTCTGGGGCCTGATAGCATACAGCAACTTTCAGAGAAATGAGTGAAAAAGTCTGGTCCCCTAGAAAGGGACGGGAAGGGTCATTTTTACATGGGCCTACCCGAGTTGCTGTTTGCTGGGAAAGACAGAAGTATTGCTCTCCTCAGCCACTGCAGGAGCCTAAGTAGGGCCTTCCACACTGTGTCCACCCTAGCCCTTTAGTATTAGCCAGTAGCCTCTTCAATCCAGAAGGGGCCCTCTTGAGGCTATGCCAAGAACCTGGCCTGACAGGCAGCAGGTGTCCTCATCCCCAGGTCATGTCAGCGACAAGCCAACAGCCTGCGTAGGTGGCTAGAGCTAAGCCAGGAAGAGCCCAGGCCGGAGGACTGGGATCTAGAACAGCAGGTGAAAAAAGAACTGGAAGAGGTAAGACCCCCGTCAGCCCCAGGGCCAGCCCCCGGCTGTGCTTCCTTCCAGCCTGCCTTGTCCTCCCCGGCCCCCAGGTGGAACTACAGATCCAGCAGTTGGCTGAGGAGCTCCAGGCCCAGCGCCAGCCCATTGGTACATGCATTGCTCGTGTTCGGGCCCTGAGACAGGCTCTGTGCTAGTGGGCTTGCCCCTGGAGGACAAGTGCTGACCTTCACAAGGCCATAGACACCCTCCCCCTCATTTAATAACAGAATACAAAGTTACAATGGTTTGGGGATTTTTTTTATTTCAAAATGTCTTGCAATTAAATGAATTACTGTTCAGAAGTCTCCTACTTTTCAAACAAAATATTGTACTACTGATACAGTTGAAAAGTTCAATGATTTCTCCTGCAGGAGAAATTCATGGCATCCCTAAGATCAACATGAAATCTGGCCTTGTCTCTACCACTGGCTTCCCCATGGGTTGCATACCTGGCTGCTACTTGGAACAGGTTTTGTAGGCGCTGACCACCATACCCTTTGCCTCCAACACAGCCCCTAGACCAATAGCAGCATGTCCCTACTTCCTGCAGGGCTGGGCCTCCCTCTACCTGCCCCCTCACTCTGTACACTACCCGGCAAGTCAATAATCGGTCTTGCCTACCAGCAGAAGAACTCAGCCAGCTCTGGAAGGTCAGAATCATTAGTCACTGTCCTCAGAAGATACTGGCAGAGGCTAGGTCAACACATTCAACAACATAGAAATGGTTTTACTTCAGCAGCAGAGGGGTGGGTTTGGGAGCAGAAAGCAGTTGTGAAGGCCATGTGGCCTGCTCTAGGAAGAGGGTGGATCCACAGCCTGTGCCAAGGAAGCTAAATCAGAAAGAACAAAGGGGCTGACAGAAGAAGACCCTGAGACAGGTGGGGGGAGCAGCTAGGATGTTGTAGCACATAACCGTTCTCACAATACTCAGCCAGAGATGTAGCATCTCCGACTTAAACAAAATTAAAAAAAAACAAAACAAAACAAAAAAACCCTCAAAGTGATTGTGAGGTCAAATCATACCCACTCTGTAAAGGGGCCTAGATCCCAAACCTCTCCTCTGCACCTCTGGACAAGCAGGAACAAATCATTCAGGTCCTACCAGGTCAGCCCCCAGAGTGCCCCACCCAGACAGCCTGAGGTGCCTCTGAAGACCCTCATGCTCCTGTGTCGAAAAGATCCCTTGGCAGTCACAACCAAGAAGACTAGAGGGAGCCCAGTGCTTCCCCAAAGCGGATCTTCTGCCCTGCCTTCAGTCTGAAGTTGAAGTCCTTGGGTGCCTCAAAGATGAGCACAATAGTAGAGCCCAAGTTGAACTCGCCTAGGTGCTCGCCCTTGCGCATGGGAACACCCTCCTTGTTGGCATGTGTTACAAAGCTCAAGTCATTGTAGGAACCCTTGCTGTATCTGGGGCTGTTTGTGTGCAGGTCCTGGGGGCAAGAAGGAAAAGGTTAATTAGCCTTGTTGCCTGTCCTCAACCCCGCCCAGCTCAGAGAAGGTAGCAAAGATGGCATCCTAGGGCAAAGGCCTATCACCAATCAATAGTTCCAACATCTGCTGAGACAGACTAGGAGGGGTGGAGGAAGAGGGTCAGACCCAACTTCTGTCCAAGCACAGAAGCAGTCATAGCACCAAAAAAGGCGGAATGGGGAGGGTACCAGATTTTCTCATCTAAACTAACTCTGCCTTCTACATGTTCCATCTTTGCCTCTGACCATGGCTCCTGAGTGAGGTTAGGTCTCTCACCTCTCCAGCCATCTCCAGGGAAGAGGGAGGCTAAGAGGCAAGGGTGCCTACAGAGCAGCTGCTCAGCAGAGCCAGGTCTGGCCAGAGCTGGAATACCCCCTCCCCAAAGATCTGGCTGCACAACAAATGGAATGGCTGAACCCAAGAGGTTTGGCCTGTAGGTTCTGCTCACTCGGTCAAAGTAGATGCGGATAGAGCCCACATTGGTGGCTCCCACTGCCGTCAACGAGAAGAACCCATGTTTCCAGTCGCCAGTCAGGACCACACGCTCATTGTGACAGAAGAGCTCTTTGATCCATCGAGCCATGCCAGGGTTCACTGACATCAAGGAACCTATGATAGGAAGATATAAGATAGGAAAAGCTACTTCCTGGTGTGTTCATGCCAGAGTGACTAAAAGCCATAGGGATTCCACAGACTAAGTGTCATTCCAAATTCCAAGCATGACCCCAGGTACTCTTGCTGATAGCCAGCCAGCCTCAAGTAGCCATCTCCTGGCCATGACAACAGCCAAGAGCCCAATCTTTTCAAGACACGAGGCCAAGGACCTCTAATACCCACAGAGGCAGCTCTCACCTTCAGCAGCCCTGGGCCTACCTGGGAAGTGACGCCGATGTGAGACAGTCCAGTCGGTAGGGGAGTGGAAGCAGTGGTAGTCTCCAGGGGCCAGGTAGATGACACAGTGGTAGAGCTCATTCCCTTCCCGGGTGACCAACTGGTTCCTGAAGGAGTCACGGGAGGAGGCTGTGGGGTGAAGCAGAAAGAAAGCCTGGCTCTTTGACGAGTTCCAGGTGCCATTCATCCCACAGTGAGCACCTGGTACACGAAGGCTCCGGTGAGGACTTCTGGCTGCATGCCTGTCTACTGCCCCAAAGCTTCCCTGGCCTTTGTATTCCCTCGGTCCCGTATGCCCTTTCTTAGCCTCTGATGTCTATCCCAGCTTCAACCCCAAATAAGCAGTGACCCACCTGGAGGGAAGGGTGTATCCTCTGCATAGGCTCGAGGGCCCAGGAATGACTCCAGAGAGTAGGTTACGCCCTTTACCTGCTCCACTTCACAGTTCTTCACCTGCCCAAAGGTGAGGATCTTGCCATCTGATGGGCTGATCTGGAGGGAACAGAGAGGCTTGATACTAAGTGGAGAGCTTAGTCCTCACCTTCAGTGGCTCCCTTGACACCGGACCTGCTAAGCACCCAGGGAGCCCCAGCCCAGGACATGCTGACACTGGTGGACTACAAGACAGAGGGCCACAGCTAAGAAAGGGCTGCTAAGCCTGGCTTAAACAAAGATCTCATTTCCTAATGAAGAATGGAGACAAGGGCCGGCCAGGCCTTACCACACTGTGCAAGCCACAGACAGGCCGTGCCTGAGGCTTCAGCTTACGCCGGAAGAACTCGCTGAGGTTTCGGTAGTGGTGCAGGTCCTCCACAGCAGCCTCTGTCATGTTCACTCCAAAGGTCCAGATATACAGGCTGTACACCGGCCTCCGCAGCCAGTATGGAAGTTCCACCTGGTTCAGGCGACCCCAGGCACGTGACAGCAAACGTGTTGGCACCGACTTGTACAGAGCCACCTGCAGGCCACAATACAGGAGGCTGAGTTGGTCACAAACTGAGAGCTATCCCACATTCCCATACCCCCACATGAGAAAGAGAGAGAGAGAGAAAGAGAGAGAGAGAATACCTAGAGAAGCCACCACAGAGGCCCAAGTGCTCAGGCTTGTTTGTGAAGTGACTTTCTCAGAAGGAACCAGACTATGTTCACCAAATACTCAAACAAGGGCTAGATATGCATATAGCCTGGCTTATTTCTTGCTATTTCATGAAAAGGTCAAAGAGCAGATGCCTTAGTCCCAGAGGTGGAGACTGGACCAAAGAGTATTGGTTCTTAAAGATGGGGGACAGAAATGAACCTGGTACAAGCCTGAAAGTCTTATCAGGAGGCATGCTACCTTTGTCCTAGCTGACTGCCCATGCTCCATACTACTCAAGAAGGCAGCAGGAGGCTCTCAAGAGCAAGGGGTAGGCCCATAATCCAGAGCATCCTCTTCATAGGGAGCAAGGATGGTGTTCTCACTCCCAGATCTGAAATATCACCTTGACATGTCTGCACCTGAGCAAGCCTATGGGCTCTCAAAAAGGCAGGAGACTTCTTTTTGAAAACTTTCTGTTATCCCTCTATGGAGCCCCAGGAGATAAGTACCAGTCCTACTGCTGGGCCAGAAGGTACTGCAGAGCTCTTGAGCTTCTGCTGCCACCTCTGTGTATCTAAACACAGCAGAGTACCAGCTCCGGTAAAGAGAAGTCATTTTACCAACTTCCAGCAGTCCTCCCCCATACTAGTGTCTCCTGGCTGATGCTCAACCACTTGGACAGAGCAACACTGTCATGTCCCCAGTCTATGCTCTAGTGTCTAGTATACTCGCTTGGACTCCTGTGATGCCTACCTAGACTACCAGTGACCAAGAAGCAGGGCCGCCTCCTTGGGGTCAGCCTGTCAGGAAGCTGAGAGCAAGAGAGCCCTCCAGGCATTAGTTGTCCAGATCCTGCATGGGGAAGCCACCTGTGCAGTCCTGAGCTTCTCAAGCATGTATTCACACGAGCAGGCCCAGCCTAGTCACAGTCTTCCTAAACTGCCTGCTGGTGTCCAGATTTTACATGGATTTTCTTACAATCACCTCTCTGCTTCTGCCTGTAAGAGTGACATCATTTTCTGATTGATCAATGTGTTCCTTCCAAAACCAGGGTTCCCACCAGTGAAGCTGTAGATTGTCACATGGTCAGCATCAAACAACCTTCTCACACACATCTACTTCTGAGAACTTCCCCTGTCTTCCCTGTGCCTTGGGCCATGGCCAAGAAGCCTATTCACACTTACCCTGCTCATGGGCCTCCATCCCACCCGGCTGAGGGGCCTGAGGGCACCGAAGGGCAGGAGGTAGTAGAGGATGGTCAGGGGCCAGGAGCGCAGTTTCAGAGCAGGTCTGGACATGCAGCTAAGCTGGCCTAGCCTCCGCCGTAGGGCCAGCTGGGGGAAGTGCAACCTGCAGGACACATGTTCACACATGGCCTGGTTCAATGCCTATGTCTGAGAGAATCTGAAGAGTAAACCCCTCAGCCAGTGCCATTCCTGCCTCCCCATCCCCCAGTAAGCTGCCTCTCCAATGGAGCCAAAGAGTTCCAGCAGGCATTCCAGTGCCCATTTCATTCCAACCAACCCTGGTTCTGAGTTGGGGACCTGGCTACCTGACTTGTGGGCTCATTTCCCAGTGTCTCCCACCTACCAGCTGATTGAATAGGAGCCAACAAGACAAAGACAGTTCAGGCCCAACTCCTGGACACCTCTAAGGTAGAGAATCCTCCAAGTATAGCAGAAGCCCCAGCAAAGGCCTTGGGGACCCAGAATGGAAAGGCAAGAGAATCTGCCTTATACCTGCACCCTCCTATGCTAAGGACGGTTGCGACCCAAGGATAGTTCTGTCCTCACAGATGCCAGAAAGACTGAGTCTATTCGAAGCAGGGCACAAGACTGAAGAGCTATGAGCCTAGCCAGCTGGACCACATCATTGTGGCACCTGGGAAAACCTTCAGATCTTTTGCTTCCTCTTCTGCTAAATGATAGGACCTAACTGTGGCTCCATCTACCTATGTCTCTGGGTCAGGCTCTCCAAGCCTTATCCACAGAGTTAGAAGGACAACACTACCTAGTTCCAAAGCCGCCTCTCTACTCTGCTAGAGCCAGACATATGACCCATGGGATCCATCACTTTTAAAAGTTCATTGTCTTCTATACAGCCAGTTTGCAAAGCTGCTGTAACCTCAGCTTCCTGAATGCAACTAAGTTCCCTGCCACACGTCAGGTCCTAGAAAATTAATAGCCCTGAGGCCTCAATGTAGCCATCATGAGACCATACTACCACCCATTCTGAGAAAGTCCCCAGGAATTTGATTAAACAAGCTAAGGCTGCCATTTGCAACTGTGCTTGCTCTCAAGAGAAGCTGAGTCCTCTGTCTCCCAGAAACTGAGCAAACCAAGGAACAAAAGATTTCTGCAGATAACAGGGCGAGTGGTTGGCAGTCCACCAGTGATGGCAGAGAGGGCTGCACCTAAGCTCCTGGGCTAAACCACAGTACACCAACTGTCCTGCATTCCTTTTCTCTCTTCCACCCCACCCCATTATGTCTTTAAAACACAAGGGGAGGTGGGAGGGACCAAGCAAAGACAAATCACTGTTCTCCTGCGGGCTACCCCACCCAAGTCACTGCAAAAGAGCTGAGACCAATCCTGAAATGCTGGGGGAAGGGGGACTGATCCTCTCCCAAGTGTAGGAAGCAGGGGTCTGGGGTGGGAGGGGGGCCTGGATGCCCTTGCTAAGGACTAAGACAGGACAGAAGCCCATTCCTGTCTCCCCCAACTGGGCCCTCCTCCCAGTCAGAACTACAGGTATCTGAAGTAGGCTCTCCTACTCAGGGCACTCAGGATCCCTTCTCCAGGCCCCTCCAGCTGAGGGGATCACTCCAGGAGCTCCTATTGCCACCTCCACATCAGGGCCACTGGACCTTGACCTCTGACCTTCCTGAGATTGTGCTAGGGCACATTGGGTTAGGTTTCAGTGGGCAGCATCTCACCATTTCACTGCTGCTTGGAGCTCTGGTCCTTGCGGCTTCTCTGACTGACACATTGTGGGTAGGCAAAGGGAGGGTGTTGTGAGCCTCCACAAGAGTGCGCTGCTCGCTTGCTCGCTCCCGTGCTCGCTCACTGGCCTTTGTTTTTCTCCTTCATCCCCTTATCCCTCGCCAGAAGAACTCCAGTGTGGTCACTGCTCCAGTCTCTGCTTATTCGCGGTGGCTCACAGGTACAGGTGAGAGGACCCCACTACTGCAGACAGACAGGTACCAGTCACATAGCTGCTCAGACTCCTGCTCAGGTCATCTGCTCAGGCTTTGCTGCCAGGACAGAAGCTCCTGTACTGGGCCAGCTCTATCATCCAGGTTTGGTCACTTGTCTTGTCCCTGCCAGCTGCCCAGCGCAATTCTCCCTGCTCTGCTGGAAGGCCGAAAGTGGGTAAAGCCTTGGGGCTGTCTGCTCCAGCCAGCCCTGGTAGTGAGGTGGCCAGACACTGCCACGACTTCTAGGCGCCACTGGGTTCCAAAAGCACAAGGTGGGAATCTGAGCCCTGTGCTCCAGGCTGATGGTCCCTCCCTCAGAGGACCTGACCCATTTTCCATTCAGGTCACAAAGTAGCATCTGAGGAATGACAGAGGGGCAGCCAGCCAGGACATCCAGGCAAGGCATCGTGATGTGCAACTGAGCACCGTAACATGCTGTAACTCCTCTTGGCCTTGAAGCCTCCAGTACCTGGCCCTGTGTAGTCCAGGCATCTTCATAAACTGTAATGCCTGGACTATCTCAGAGAAAACCAACCTGGGGTTGGGCAGCAGCCAACACTGAAGTCCAAACCTTCCTATCCTGTCTTTCAATCTTCGTCAAAAAAGCACTTTGACTAGGCCATTCCCTGGCAATCTTCAGGGCCCATCCCCTGCTCACAGCCTCCCCATTGTACAGATAACAGGGAGAAAAGAACAAGCATTCCACAACCGTGGCTATCTCAGCCCAAAGCAGCTAGGGCCCTCAAGGTCCTGGGGAGGATGAAAGCTCATAGGGCTAACTGGAAGCTATACATCTGCTCTCCAGCCTCAATCACAGCCCTGGAAGGAGGCAGCACCTGTCACTGCTTTCAGATGAAGAAATGCTGGCCTCAAGAGTTATTACCTGTAGCCTCTGGTGGCAATGCACACCTTTAATCCCAACACTAAAGAGGCAGAGGCAGGTGGATCTCTGGGTTCAAGGCCAGCCTGGTCTACACAGTGAGTTCCAGCACAGCAAGGGTTGTTATACAGAGAAACCCTGGCTTGAGAAACAAACAAACAAACAAAAGTGGTGCGGGAGAATTGTCTGTATTCTGTCAATCATGTTTTAAATAAACGCTGATTGGCCAGGCAGGAAGTATAGTGGTATAGTGGGTCAACCAGACAAGAAGTAGAGGCAGGGTGATGAGAACAGAAGTATTCTGGGAAGCAGGAAGCTCCCTCTGCATTCCTGCCCAAACCAGTGAGAATCGAGGTGTAATCTGCCCGGCTGTGAAAGGTACCAAGCCATGTGGCTAGCATAGATAAGAACAATGGGTTAATATAAGCTACAAGAGCTAATAAGTAGCCTGGGCTAATGGGCCAATCAGTTTTATAACTTATGGAGATCTCTGTGTGATTTTTTTCTGGGGCTTGCTGGCTGTGGGGTACCAGGTGGGACAGATACCCCAACAAGCCGGACCTTTGTGTTACACAAAGAACTAATGCCTGAGACAGAGAACAAACTCAGGCAAGGACAAATTAGGCACCACACGGTGACAATTTCTATCACTCTATCTACACAAGTGTTTGTGCACTGGTAAGTTTATTTCAGCCAAAGAGGTAAAAATTCCAGCCCTGTTACCTGCCTGCAAAAGCCACTGAATCCCAGGTATGCTAGTGGCCTCTAGGAGAAGGGATAAATAACAAAGCCATCAAGATACAGATTTCTCCCTATGGCTGAGGAAAAGGAGGACTGGCCTACCCTAGCACACAAACATTCTCAAACCTCCTCTCTTAAAACATGCTAGCACCAAATGAGTACACGTAGGAGCCCACCTCATCCAAGGGCTAGGGCCAGGCTTCAGGGACACCCATGCTTCTGCTTTAGGCTATGAGTCTCCTGCTAATTCTTCCATCCATAATAGTAAGCGTGTTCTGCCCATTCATTCTACACTGAGTGCATGCACACACCCTGCCTGGGTGAACAGGCTTCATACTGGACAGGGAAATGGGCTCGGGATGATGTGCCATCATCATGTAACTGGTGTCAGGCTCTCAGAGGCTCCTTCCTTCTCTATAAACTTCAGGCTGGGAAATAGGTGCAGAGCTCACACCCAGGATTAATGGGGAAACAAGTATGACCTTGTAGGATAGGGGGACTCAAGGAGCCTAGGTTTCTTGTTAACTTTTCCTTTCTATCCTACCATGTAGGATGCTAACTATGGCAGCTCTGAACATGTGAGCCTGCAAATCCAGCTCAGCTAAAACATATAGGTTGTCAACCAAGACTCATGCAGGAACCTAGGCATTTTGTTCTACCATAGCACTATGAGGCTGGGGTGCTGGATAAGCTGGGTGGTCCACCACAGTAGGGAGTGTCCTGGGTTCTTCCTGTCTGCAGTGAGACAGCTCAAGGGATCAGAACAAGGAGCTGCTTCCTTGAAGAAGCACTAAGGCCTGCCCTGAGAGACCAAGGCACCTAACCTGCACTTGCCCACAGTGAGGGGATGGATAAGCAGTGTGTTACTGCCTTTATCAGTCTTCTCTTCTACACTAGAACACCTGGGATCCCGCAGAGTTCCCAGGAAACAGAATGAATTTAGCTCCTCCCCAAGTAATAGACTGGGTCCTATCTGTCCAGTTAAAAGCAATAAGGATATCCAGTCTGTCTTTTTGCCTCCAAAGCTGAGCTACTTCAATAGCAATGCCCCCATCCTTCCTACTTCACAGACCACCACTACCCTTCGCCTGCTAACCCCCTTCGATCCGAAACCCTTCTGACTCTCCCTAGCCTCTGAGTGCTCAAGGTTTTGGGTAAGTCCTGGGCAAAAAGGAGTCCTGAGACAGGCGAGTGCTGACACCTTCTGTCCCCGCTGAGAGTCAAGCACAATCTGGGGAGGCTAGCTCAGGCTGACCAGCCAGACTTTAAAGCTGAGGGTCAGTCACCTGCTACATGAAAACTCTGAGGGATCTTTGGTGAGCATTGATCTGATCACTACAATCCTGAGAGGTGGTCAAGGTCTTGGTAACCACTGCTGCTCTCCCTGCCTGTTCCTTCATCTGCACACTTCCCTTGAGATTCAGAACAGGACCACAAGCAAGGTCAGAATAATCTTATAAACCTTAACTCCCATCTCAACCCAGTGGCTCCCCAACTCTTACCTCCCTTTCCAGCAAGGGAAACACAGTATGAGAAGGCAAGGGGGGGGGCAACTCTGAAAGGGGAGCCCAAAATATGAGCCAGTTCTGTCTTGTAAGTAGGAAGTTTAGGCTGATGCAAACATGGGACAGGGTTAGTTCTGCAAGGACATGCTGTTCTGGGGTTCATACCATGTCCTCCTCCATCCACTCCTGCTTAGAACCTGGTCCCCAATGGAATGGAACATCCCAACTGAAGTTGAGAAATGGGCTAGGCCAGTTAGCCGCTATAGGTGTGTGTGGATGTGAGCAGTGGCTGTGTTAAGTGAGCATCTGTGCTTGTGGGGTGGGTGGTATAGGTATGCTTTGGGGTTTGTGCGCACTTCCTAGTCCCTCACTTGGGCAGGCGATAAAAGCAGGCAGACTCTTCTTCCTGAACCAGAGATCTCCAGCGCTCCAGATCATGCGGCCACCACTCACTTTTCCACCCCAGGTCTTAGGCCATTTCTTCCCGAGCTCCCTGAGGCAAGACCACCTGGCACGTGTGTCCAGGGAGGCAGCTAACTCCTGCTCTGTATTTCTAGGCTGGAAGTAGACAAAACTTCACAAATAGAGGGCAGGAAAATGGAGCCTCCCTAGGCAAACCCAGCAATTCTTCTGGGAAGTCACTAGCAAAGAAGAAGGGACAAAGAGAAGGGCTGAATGGCCTGTAATCAAGTCAGTTGCTGAGGTGGGAGAAAAAGAAAATTCTTCCTCAACTCCTCAAACAAACAAACAAATAAATAAAGGAATCTTCTTCTCAGACAATCTATGTGTGGTTCCTGGGTCCCAGGGCAGAGACTGTAGTATGCATGACTCCAGCTCTCTTCAATCTACAGGGATGCTTCCCTTTTCCCCAGGCAGCACAGAGAAATGCACACTGGGAGCCCAGAGCCACCCCCAAAGCCTGTACTTCCCACACTTCCCAGCATCTTGCTCACTTCCTGCTCAGCCTTTTGGGGACTAAAGCGGCGACAGGACATGGAGGAAGTGAGCTCAAGCAGCCCAACAGCCTCGGGGGCAGGAGAGCAAGACGGTCCAAAGAGATTCCTCAGCTCCCGGAGCTGTAAAAGAGCTAGAAGGCAGCAGCAAAGTGCTGGGAGGCGCTCCCACCCGGCCCTCCCAGCCTCAGCGAGAGCGGAGGGAGCTCCTTGAAAAGCTCGCTCGCTGCGGCAGGTCCCACTTGTGGCCTCTACCAACTCACTCACTCACGAGAACAGTCCCAATCCACTTTCTGGGCTCTGGTCTTCAACTCCTCCAGCTTTGGCTAGGTTCTGAAGCCTCAGAGTCTCAGAGCAGGCAGGATTCTGGTTCCTGCTGAGAGCGGAGGCAGGAGGAGCAACACCAGACACTGTTAAAGTCACCACACCCTCTGAGCACCAGTCAAGCACAAGAAGCCCCGAGGGCCCTTTAAGAGGAGGGGCTACAACCTGGAGAAAAGAGGAAGAGGCCGGCAGGGGCCCTAGCCCCACCCAGTCATAGTCTTTAACGGCCAACCAAAGATTATGACCAACGACACCAAAAAAGACTGCTTCAGACACTAGAGCAACATGGGCCCAGCGCTCCCCAGAGGATGCCTCCGGGGACTTCAAGGACCCTGAATCCCTAGCCTCTAGCTGGCCTCTGAGCTATTGCCCTCCACCAACTCTGCAAGACAGGCTTCACTAAGACAGTAAGACAGTCTTCTTCACTGGGCTGATCACAAAGTCACTTCAGTCATCCCTTTTAACTCCAGAAATTCTAAAGATACGGAAAACCTTACATTTTTTTCCCCACACTGGACCATGAAGACACAAGGTTACCCCTCCCAACTTCAATTATAACACACACACACACACACCAGCAAACCTCTAACAGACAAAGCCCAGACTGAAGAACGGTGTGGACGGGTGAACACGAGTAGCTGTGCACAGGGACCACTCACCCACAGACAGGAACGTGCAGCTGGAGATGCCCTGTGGGGTAGGTCTTTCTACTCCACTGGATGGGAAGAGCCCAGGCTGCAGTCAGCAGATCACCTTATACCTACAGAATGCCAGGCTTGCCCAGTTGGCACCCAACTAACATAAAAGAAAATGAAAGGCCCTAACATTTTCCAGGGAAAGTGGGAGATTACAGGGGATCAACACTCATGAGTCTCATTCATGTCTGGGGTCAACCCAGCAACAGCTGCGTGGCCTTGCAAAGCTTAATCTTTCCATGGGAGGCCACTGTAAAGGGTGCACCTTCAGTTCCTTCTGCCACAGAGTTTCATTCTCACAATAACTACTGTTTGGAACAATGTGACACCCCGTGACAGGGTTTCCAGAGAGATGGGTGGGTCACAAACGCTGATATTGTTCAGACACAGACGCACACACCTGCCCTCCTCACCTGGATCAGGCTGTGCTGTAGCAGGGAGAAGCAGACACCTAGAGGGCTATCCTCTGAGACCCATGATATTTCACACCTTTACCACACCACAAGAAAAGCGGGGAGACAGAATGCACACAGGCCTCTGTTCACGGGGCCTGTGCACCCAGCAGACACTACTAATTAGTGTCCGATCTTGCTGAGTTCCCTAAGACTCCAGACTCTTCTCATGGAAGACTGTCTGGAGTCTGATGAAGCGGCTCAGTGAGTAAACCACAAGCAAGAGACCGGAGTTTGATCTCTGAGAGGCTGGACACCACATGCCTTTTCTATAAGGAACACCTTTAGATTTCAAACAATAGTTAACAGCTGAATTTCTTTCTGGGGTACCCTACCCCCACCTATAAACTTAGTTCACTACAAAGAATTTCCTATGGGCCACTCATGTCCCTAATTTCCATTCTCTCTACTCTTCAGGGCTTCTGGTTCAGACTGCCACCTAGTGCCCCTGGGAGATTCTGCAGGCTCGAAGACTACTTAGTTGCCAGCACCCAAAGGCAAGATATCTGGAGCCCCTTAGAGCATAGGTTAGACCCCGGGTGGGTATGTGAATTTCATGCATTCCTTACCTGTACACTAGATAATGCCCTGTGTCAGGGATGAAAGGTAGCTGAGGAACAAGGATGGCAGGTAGTCACCGTCACTTATTCTCAAGGGTCCAGAGGAACAGTGAATATGGCTGGTATCCTTGAGTGGCACAAGTCACAAGCAGGTTCACTTTCCATATGGACGGCCAGGAAACCTGGGGCAAGTATGAAGAGCTCTCCACACATGATTTCCCAGCCCTGCCCAATTCCTCTCTTTTGTTCAAAAATGTTTCTTAGGAACCTCACCCCTTACACAATTTCTAGAAAGCCCCCTGGCTTATGCAGAACCATTCAGCCATAACTTGAGGGCACTACACCAACCCTGAGAGATGGCCTGTTTAGGGTAGAATAAGCCCAATAGAAAGCATCCTAGGCCTCCATCATCCACCAGCCTAGGAGACTGGCCTTGTTTTTCTCTTCAGTTTATTCTATGCTAACCCATCTTATTCTATTCCTTCAAGATAGCTAGAGTCTCATTCATAGCCAGGTTAGCCTGCAACTCACCAATTAGGTCCCAAGTGCATTGATATGGTGGCAACATTCCTGCCTGCCTTAACTTCCTGGTCTTGTTTTTTGTTTTGTTTTGTTTTGTTTTGTGAAACAAGGTTTCTCTGTGTAGTCCTGGCTGTCCTGGAACTTGCTCTGTAGACCAGGCTGGCCTTGAACTCAGCGATCCACCTGCCTCCTCCTCCTGAGTTCTGGGATTAAAGACTTGTGTCATTATCAGCTGGCAGCTGGCCTTGTTTTCAAATTGCTGGAATGCACCTGCACCCCGTGACGGCGAGATGAGAGGTGGGGATTCCAGGACAGGAGAACTGTCTCAAACACACAGTAGAAGGAGCCCAGGAACTGACACTTGGGGCTGTCTATGGATCTCCACATGTCATTTCCTACACCCGCACATGCACCTGTCCCTACCACAAAACATGCACATGAATACACATATACACATTAGAAGAGTTTATTAGCTGGGCGGTGGTGGCTCTGCCTTTAACCCTAGCACTCGGGAAGCAGGGGCAGGCTGGTCTCTGATTTGAGGCCAGCCTGGAGTACAGAGAGCAAGAGAACAAGTTCCAGGAATTCAGGGCTACATAGGAAGACCCTGTCTCGAGGAAAGAGGGGGAGGGGAGAGCTCACAGGAGGTCCACATGTGTTATGATGGAAAGTTGAGGCAGGTGGATCATGAATTTGAAGCCAGCCTGGCTACACAGTGATAATGTCTCAAAAATAAAAACAACTGTGGCACTTTGAAAATGTTCCTGTCTACCCTCCTGTGGTGCTCCGAATGAGAATGCCCTTCATAGGCATGCTTTGTCCCAAACTGATGAACTGCTTAGAAGGATTGGGAGGTGTGGCTATCTTGGAGGAGGTGCCCAGTGCCATGTTCCCCAACCTCCAACTCATTGATTTGGATATAAAGCTCAGAGCTCCTGCTGCTCCAGAACCAGGCCTGTCTGCTTCTCACCCATGATGCCCATGGACTACCTAGGAAACTGTAAACAAAGCCCCGTATAAGAGTTGCCTTGGTCATGGCGTCTCTTTAGAGCAATGGAGAAGGGCTCTTCAAGCAAGCCCAAGCACAGCATATACAGACCAGAGCACAGCAAACACAGCACCAACAGGTTTTGGGGCCCCCCCCCCCTTGCTAAACAGATGATATTCCTACAGCTAGTTCCAAAGGTCCATTCCCTTATTTGGCCACTGACTCATTCCTGAGACTAATCACCAGAGTTCAACAATCAAAACTCATCGGCTCCACTGGCTAACCTGTCTTAGCAGCTCATCCCACTCTGCCTAGCACACACTCCCCTTTCTCCTTAAAAACCTACTCTTGCAGGAAATACCCGATGCCTGCTGAAAGCCTTTGTTGGATCCAGGGGCAGATCCCCACCACCACCACACACACCTTGGGTAATAAATCTCCTTTGTAATGAGAACTTGGTGTCTGGGTGTGTCCTGTACAGATTCAGAGGACTTCCTCCAGCCTCTTACAAATAGCACAGTAATTAAGACAACCTCCCCTCCTTTTTTATTTTGTGTGAATGTTGTGTCCCAGAAACAATCCATTTTAATTTAAAAAAAAAAATTGAACCGAGCTGGGCGGTGGTGGCGCATGCCTTTAATCCCAGCACTTGGGAGGCAGAGGCAGGC